CGCATCAAGATCATTGGCATATCAGGAGACCCCATCTTAAGCAATTACTTAATAACAATGGTAAATGCATCCAAAAATTACTACGTATTACGTATAAAATTACTGTATTCCTATAATTTTATATCGATATTCTAAAATATATTCAATATTCAGGATCTAGTTTTGAAGAAGTAAAATCAGAAGTTATTACTGCAATAAATAACAAGATACTTGTTGGTTTTTCTATAGAACATGATTTATTTGTAAATATTTTGATTGTTATTAATTAATTTTGTTATCTATATGCAAGTTTTAATTAACGTTTTTCATTATTATCATTATTGCTATAATTATTAAGCCACTAAATATAGACTATCCGGTAAACATGATACGTGATGTTTCACTTTGTAAAAGATTTCGACATGATAATGGACCATATAAGCTAAAAGACATAGTAAAAACTGAACTTGGCATTGAGATTCAGAAGACTCGTAGATACCATGATGCAGTAAACTTAATTTACAATTTTTTTTATAAATTTATTAAATACAGAATTTTAAGCTAATAAAGTAGATTATTAGGTCGAAGATGCTACCGCAACTATGCAGTTGTTTCGAAAATTTCGAGAATTTTGGGATGAAATGGTACCACAAAAACTTTATTATCCTAAAGAAGACCTAATGACCGCACCTATACCATGTCCTACTATAGTATTTTGCCAGCAGTAAATTATGTTTATTTTTATGTTTTAGTTTTACCTGTTTTATCTTAAAAGTTTAATGTTTAGTTGATTTTATTAGAAATTATGCAGCAATAAGTTGCATGATTCTTATGGATCACAATCGATATAGGGACGGGGTTCCTGTTCAAGTAACATTAGTAGATCATAAGGGTAACATTATACTAGATAAATATATACGTCCACCTACGGAGGTCACAAATCTCGATCATCAATTAAGGGTTCTTGGAATTAATCCAGAAAAATTTCACACCGAAGGTAAGTCCCAACAATTTGCCACTAAAAATTGCAATTATATACTGTATATCTTTATTTAATTATCGATATATATATATTTACTTATTTAATATTCAGCACTTGATTTTACGGATGCACAAGCATTAGTGAGGAACAAAATAGAGAATAAGATCATTATTGGTTACAATATTTTGCGTATTCTTAAAGTAAATATTTCTTAATTTCCTTCAGTCTGATGTTTACATGTATTTAAGCTAATGTCTTGATTATGACTAATTAATAAAGTCATTAGGAATAGACGACCATCCGATTATAATGCAACGTGACACTCGGTTATTGCCGCCTTACAAAGGTAAACCAATTCCCAGGTTAAAAAAAATGGCACAAGATATACTTGATATAGATCTTTCAGAAGACTCAACGGTAAATTCGATTTTTAGTTTAATTAATTTATATTAAATTCTTCTATTTAATCAAGCATATTGCTGCAATAGTCTAAAGAGGCATGGGTGGTTATGAGACTATATATAGAATTCGAAATTTCTGGAAACAAAATGATACCAAAACAAAAACCATCTAAAACACCAAAAGCTACTTTATTTCATTCAAGAACTACAACTGATGCGACTAAAACTATTTTAATTACGCCATCTGGATGTTCGTGTACGGAGTCACTAAGATCAACTAAAACTATTTCGGCTTGAAAGACTTCGTTGCTGTAATATTTTATAATTATTGATCAATAAACTTGTAATTCAGGTCATTGTAAAACAAGGTCGTCGCGCGACATCATCGCACAGAACTAGGAACATATTCTTAATTTACAAAGTGAAGGTAAATGAAATGTCTGTAGAAATATAAGATTATTATTGTCTGAATTGTAGCGAAGGACCCTTAGTGCAGGGTTGGCACATTTGTCCATTGGTATGAATGGACCCCAGGTCCATTTGTTCCATTGGACGGTCACTATTCCAATGGACCAATGGACAAGTAGGTAAAATAATTATATAGCTATTATAAATGAGTTTAGAATATTATACCACGTGATATTTGAGATTTTTTTGGTATTAACCTTATTTTGGCTTATGCTAATGGACTAATGGACCAATGGATTATGATATTGGTCCATTGAATTCCATTGACAACCTTATTTTCAATGGACATAGTCCATTGCCAACCCTGCCTTAGTGTCTACGCAAAGTGATAAAAAATTTATGTTTTTGATATGTTTCTATAAAAATAATTACTTGCTTGATGTATTAGCACAAACATAAGATTTGAACATAATTTGGATTTTTTGGTCCGTTCGCACGTGTGTCTATATTTGTACGCTTACGCGTTTGTGTAATTTGATGATCTTTATGTGTTTCGAACACAATGCTACGCAGTGTTGTCGCGTCTACTATGTCCACCACTTTGGTTGATCTTTAGTATAGGTGGGTATATATAATTGTTATACAATTACTAGCATAAGACCCGTCGCGTTGCTCCGGAATAATTTTAAAATATATACGAAAAATTTATTAAATGTGAATAAATAAACTATCCAAGTTTATAAATTTTTATAGAATAATGTTAAATATCGCAGATTGCTATATCGCAGGTTAATATGATCGACAAATTAGATCACAGGATCTTGTGTAACAAAAATGAACGAAAAATTAGGAAAAAAGTCAAAATTTTAAATATCTCGAAATTTCATTATGTAAACTAGTCTTGGGCTTCTAATTAAAAGTTTTTAACACTTAATTTTGCATATAAATATGCCTTCTAACTCTAATCCTAATACTAGCTCGAACACTAACCCTAACTAATAATAAATTTAATTTTTTTTTAAAATATATACGTATTAACCTGCGATATCACAACCTGCTAAATTTAACAAAACTCTTTTTATAAATCATTTAGCTATTATTATAAAAAAAATATTTAAATATTTAAATAAACAATTTACTATAATTTATAGCATTAGTTTGAATTCTATTAATTTTTTAATTAAAAAATTATAAATAAATTAATATTAACTTAATTCATGATATATTTAAAGGACCAATTTTTATAAAATACCAAATTAAATACAAAAATTTTAACCTAAAAAAAATACATAGTTGAAGTACCTAAAGTAAATACAAAATAAATTAATCATTCACTTATTAATAATATACTTTCCACTTTTTTTTCAGAGAAAATTTTGTAAAAAAGTGGGCAATTTAGCTTACCCCTTCAAAAGATCGATATATTGTTTACTTACCAAATCGGTCAGCATTGTTTACTTTTTTTCCTGTTACAACAAACACATGGATACTTATGGAATGTGAACATATATTACGTGCCTTGAAAGTGTCAACTCGGACAAACAATGCTTTGAGACCAACTGTGTGAATTTCTGACTTCTTTATGGTGCCCGAAGTGTGCTTTTGTTTATGCTTCTATGGGAGTTTAAACAAAAGAAGCCAGGGGCTTACAGTGCTAGAGTATGGTGCCGATGTCGAAGAGCTTTTTTTTCCTTTAAGGTTTTTGTTTAAATATACTAAGTAGTTAAATTAGAGTAGAGACTAGTTTAGATAGTAATATGTAATTTTTACAAAGCCCGACACAGGCTTATAATTGTGACCGTCTGATATGGGTGAAATTCACATATTTTTCTTTTTTTCATTTTTCTCTTACCCCTTTCTCTTCTTGTTTATATCTTTTATCATATTCTCCTATACCTTAGTGTTTTTTTTATATATATAGTTTTCTTTTTTTTCTTTTCACTTCTCTATAAGAAGATGTCATCAGATTGGTGGTATCCTACTGTAGAGCAGTGGATCAGACGAGCCTTCTGGTTAGGGTATTACTTAGATTTTACCTCGCCGGTGCGGCAGGTCGCCAATGTGCACTCGTTAGAGCAGCCAAGGGATATTAGGATTATAGGTTTAATGTTATAGCAATATATTTGTAATCATCCACAAAGATTGAAGCTTTATTAAACATTGATCACTAGTGCAATCTTGCCTAAGTGAAAAAAAAAATAATAATAATAATATACTTATGCTATTCTTAAAATCACAATTTGAAATAATATAGGCTTAATAGAAGTGCTTTAAATAAAGCAACAAATAAATAGCTAATGTATATAGATGTAAATTAATAAATGTTTTTTTAGCTATGCATTGAATTAAAGTGACTATATTCTTGCAATAAAAAGTTTACTTAATCATTTAGTTTAATAGATTTATTAAATCTTACATTAAAAATATATATCAGTCACAGGACATGTCCTGATCGATGATTTTCATAGTGATTTTTTTTGTACAACGTATATTGTCATGACTCTTTTTTAAAATATATCGAATAGTTAATAGAAATGATATTTTCAACCTTAGACAAAATTTATTTTTCAGGCTATAAACTTTCTTTTTATAGCAAAATTACACTTATTACTTTATGTTTTATAAAATAAAATGAGACACGAAAATCGCAATATTCTAGCCTAAATGGCAAGATCTTTTTTGAAATACTGTGGATTAAGACCAGCTTTACTTCGTTAGTGAATGCTAATGAAAAGCATTACAAAACTCATTATTGGAGCAAGAGCGCTTTACTTGTAAATTACAGACATTTGTTAAGAGGTGTTTTTTATTAAGGTAGATCAGAATGATAATTTGAAGTTATTTGTGCTTTTATATATGCTTTTATCTCTTTTTGTGGACTTTAACTAACGTAATCAAGAAAATAAAGCTTTATTTAAAAAGATCAGGTAAGTATTCGGTATACAATTAAAAAATTATTACAATGTATTACTATATTATATGGATCAGGAAATGATAAGTGAATGAGTAAAAATATTTTAAATTACTTTGCTAGACTAATGAAAATTTTGTTTTTCATGCTCTTGAATTTAGGTTTTACGAAAATGTGAAGCCAAGATCTATGAAAATTTAAAACCATTTGTTTGTAACTGGAATTCTAGAATTTATAGGCATCAATATATCGTATTATAGTTTTAAGAAATGATTTTGCTTTTTTTACTTTATTCATTTTGTTTTTGAAAATATTTATGCTAGTTATTTTTATAATATTGTTTGACTCTTTCTTTTGTCCAATCTAAAGATACAGTTTGAAGTTCTGTCACAATTATTGGAATTATGGTTTCAGGCATTCCTTCTTCAGCTTGAAATAATTTGGCAAGTATTTGTTTTTCTGCATCAGTTGTAGTATGACGGGTCTGTTTTGGAAGGTTAGCCTCAGAAGGTAATGGCATTTGATGTGATGTTGAAACATCTTCTTGAATTCGCATAGAATTTTTACCTTTGTTTTTATTTTTTTGCTTTTTTATAATATCAAGTTTAGCATAGCTATAGGAATTTATATTTCGTAAACTATGTCCAGGAGCTGGAATTTCGGTCTTGTATACATCTTCCGCAAGTACCTGTTGAAAACATGATTTTCCAAACTCATAAAAAGAAAGAATATTTTTAATACCATCTTCACTAATTTCTGGAGCATCTTCGAACATAAAGTGTGTTGTAGGATCTGGATAATCAAAAGCAGACAATAATTCTGTTGCTAGAAGCCAAAGTGAATCTTTGCATGACTTGATTGCACAGACATTTTGGCTTACTACAACATCATCAATATATTCGGCAAGAAGCATTGACAAACGATTTCTTTCACTCTGGGCTGCCTTAATCTTCAGCATCATGGTTTGTTGATCAGCAAGATTACCTGTTAGATTTTGCTTGATAAACTTTATACCGTAAGTTTCAAGTGCTTCATCAAAAGCCAAATAATGTCCATCGCTTGTAAGGTTTACTGAACATACCGTTTTTAACAATTTTTGCAGCTGTGAATCATCATGAACCTGAGTTAAAAAATGGGCTACAGCACTTGCATATTTAAATTTTCCAGCCGCAGGAAAAAGAGATGCGAATGCAGCTAAATTTGCCATCTGCATTTTATAATTTCCTCTTCTAATTCCGATTTTATAACCTATAAAATATCCTGTCCAGCGGAAAAAGAGATACCACACCTTCGCTAAGTGATTATTACTATCCAAAATAGAGTTTATAGTTATTCCTTTATTTTTTGAATACTGACACAATGCAATCCCGACTGTAACCCAAATCAGTTCCAAAACACGAGTTGTTGCCCAGTAATCTATTACATGTTCAAACTTCTCTAAGTATTTTACACCAAGGGTTGCTGCAAGATTGAAGATTCCGTATCCCGAAAATATCATAATTAAAGTGCAGCACATGTCTTTAGAAGTATGCCACTGTCCCAAAAGAAGTCTGACATCATTGTGAGTCTCCTTATAGGAGATTAATCTTTCAAAAATTGCTTGATCGCATATTATATACAAGCAATAGTTATTATCACAAGGTAAGTCATCACGATATATTTTACATGCAGCATGAACATTTTCATTACAATTTGGCGGGTCACCAGGTTCTAATATAACAACATTTGGCGACAGAATATTGCAACCTATAGGTACATACTTGGTGAATTCGGAAAACACATCTTTCGTCTCAAATTTATTTATGCGAGTTATTAACAATTCATTTAAAACAGTTTTATATATCATCAAAAGGTTGTTAGTAGTGAGGACTCTCCAAATAGTGGTTGGTCGATGAATTCATGGTCTCCAGTTAGATATTCAGGCAATGCTGGAAGGGAAAATTAAAACACCATTCGTAATGTCGCATGTGATGTTTGCTGTGTAATATCAAAAATATTGCTGTAGAAAAATGTAGAAGCTTTGAAGTCAATATTGTCGATTACTGCTAGATTCCAAATATTTGGACCGTCAAGTAAGTTCTTTTTAGGGTCTGCATGTTGCATTCTTATATTTTCGAGACAGTTTTCATATCGCTTAGTATATGATATTATACATGAAGAATAAAGAATTTTTCACAGATGTGGCAGCAATTTCGGATTTTGGCATATTGATGACATCATATGTGTAAGCCAGATTTTTGTGCCAGGAAAAGCAATAGTAAGTAGCATAGAAGTCAATAATGTAGTGGTATTTATTATTTGGCTTTCATTAAGTGATATTAGTAGAAGTTCACACTGACGTCTCTTATTATTGATGACTGTTAGTTTATGTTGTTGCAATACCGTGAGAAGAGCTTGAAAAAAGCTGCGAATAACAATAGGTAATGCATAGACATAATGTTCGTACGAGCTTGGGTTTTCTAATTTGCTGATATTTTGTTTAATTTCAGAACGTGAATGTAAAATTTCTCTTCCTAATTTTTCTCCCATCGTCGAAGCCTTGTTTAGAGTTATGAGAGACTTTGTCTTTGTCAACCTGTCCAATTCAATTTCTTCCACTCTTATTACCATTCTAATAAGTAATTTACTTGGAAGTTCTGATGAGTTTTCGATCATTACATCATTAAAAACAGTTGAGGATATTTGAGATAAGAATCTTTCTTGTAGTTTTTGGTTGTCTGATTCTGCTATTAAGATTAACCATTTTCCAATAAGTCTTAAAGCATCCTTTGTATCATCACGATGCTTTCCAAGTTCGGTACATGTGACTCTTCTATCCGATTTTTCATATAGATGTCCACCATGCTGCTGAAAGCACTATGAGCATATATAATGGGCATGGGAACCCAAATGCGATTTTCTTGCAATAGGTCTCTCAGAAAATGCTGAGCTTTTAAAAACGCCAATACAGGGTACTTGAATATTACGCCCATTGACGCTCCACGAATGCTGTATGCAGCTATCACCTCGACTAAAAAAAATTTTTTTTTATTACAAAATAGGCAAATGCGAACATAAACAATACTTTAGTTGACCGAACGTGATTGCTTTAAACCTGATTCGTAAAGTTGATTTTGATCAAAAATAAAATGGGCATAGCATACACCAAGTTGAGAAAGACAATCCTTAACATCTTTGACTGCGTCTATATCTATTTCCCATATCCCAACTATTTGCCACAATCGCCGTAGATTCGTTATACCATTACAGCATTTTATTTCACCTTGAATAATATCTATAACTACACACGGTGTTATATCCAGACTTTGTATAGAGGTTTCTGGAATTGCTATATCGCCTTGATGTATTGTTAGGATGGATTCACTATCCAGGTTAGAATTTTCTGATACAGTTTCATCCCAATCAGTTTCTTCATCTTCATTGTCATTTACTTCATTTTCATTGTCATCATTTAAGAAGACTCGGGCATTTTCAAGAGTCATTTGGTCAATGATAAAAACCTCTTTGCCATTGTCTTCGGAAGCACCGTATTCTTCAAGATCCATATAAAAAATAGATTCGGGATTTGTCATTTTTTAGAGCTAAGTGATGTTACTCTAGCTGTATATAAAGTTTTATTGAGAAGAAAAAAGTTAGAATATTGTTAAGCTTTTGTTAAAGAAAAGAAAATTAACACGTCGAATGATAGAACTTTTTATATTTATTTTGATATTATTTTTATATATATTTTTGAATAACAATTGTATTGATTAATCCAATTCTTTTTTTTTTAGAGATCAAACGAACCATTTGTTTTAGATTTTTAACAATCGTATTGATTAATCTTATTCTTTTTTTTTTAGAGATGATTAGGTTAACTGAGCTTCACATTATAATGTTTTGAAACACTATAGTATGGCTATTGCAACGTATCAGATCTTAACAATTGTATTGATTAATGCGATTCTTTCTTTTTTTTATTATTTTCAATATGTGTTGTTGGTATTGTAATATGTTTATTGATGAAAAATAATTTTTTATTATTTTGTTGTATTTTTTATTAAAATTATTTATGCCAAACAAAAATAAAAATAAAAAAAATATTCATATTAAGTATACTAGTTCTATATTTTTTTTATTAAAAAAAAAATACTACACTACAAAAGTTTCACATTATTAGATTACTCATACTTTAGTTATTGTCTACACTAGAAGCTTTATACCAACATGTCAGCCCAATGATAATTATCTTTTATTTCGATTTTTCTCATATTACAGGAAAATAAAACTGCGAATGACGACCCTGAAATAAAAAAAAAAATTATCTTTGATCAAATTTTGCCGATCGTAGCTCACAGGTACAATTGCCCGATTGTATGATTGTGTAAATTGTTGAGAATTCGAGTATTAAGGATATAGATATGTAAAATTATAAATTATAAAATATTTTATCTGCTTCGAATTTTTGATTAAGAAAATCACTTTACACTCAATCAACCAACAATCAAGTAATTGAATTTGTAAAATTTGATCAAAGATATATCACAGCAATAGTTAAAGCTTCATACCAACATGTAAGTCCAACAATGATTATCTTCAATTTTTCTTCATATTAAAGAGAAGGTAAATCTGCGAATGACGACTCTACAACAAAAAAAAAAGTATCTTTGATCAAATTTTGCTGATCGTAGCTTACAGATACAATTGTCTGATTGTATAATTGTACAAAGTAATTGTTGAGAATTTGAGTATTGAGGATATGAATATATAATAAGAAAATCACTTTACAATCGCACAATCAAACAACAATCAAGTGATTGTAGTGTAAGCTGAATCTGCAAAATTTGATCAAAGATACATCATTTTGCAAATGGCGATAGTTAAAAAAAGATTGTATATACAATACTTTCCTTTGTGCTTTGAGAGGATAAATCAAATGTGGCATAGATAGGAAGATAGCTTTCTAGTTCATGCTATAGTAATTCTTCTTATCGTAATAAAATTCCTGCTTTTCTACAAAATTGATAAATCTATACTTTTGAGACCCTGATCATGAAAGTTTTTCAAAGATAAAATTCTTAATAGCTATTATTATCTACTGTAAAATTTCAAATAACAGTATTCACGCATTATTTTGATTACCTACATACCATCTTGGGTATGCTTTTCTGCGTTATTTTAGGATCAATTTTCACGTTATGGTTGTATATGAAGTATTTCAAAATCAAGCATGCTCATACCCATTATTCAAGGTAAACACACGATCTGCTCTTTATCTGCACGATATTTACAACATACAAAGTTTAGTTGTAGAAGATTCAGCGCATAGAAGTATATTATATTAAGTAAAAAAGAGAAACTAAAAGGCTTAACTTTCTTGCAAAACGGGATCAAATCACCTAAATCTAATTCTTATTTGTTTGCAAAATGGTAATGGTCACTGAAAAGGTGTATTTCAAAAAAACAGGTTGGCAAAATGAAATTGTGAAATGGGTTTTAAAGGAATAGCTATTATAAATTTAGCACTTTATAGGGGTTAGGATACTTGAACTTTAACCGAAGATTAATTTTGATCTAAAGGAGATTAAAGATCAAGACTTTTATAGTTTAATAAAAAAATATCTCTAATATATTTTTGTCTCAGGTCGTAAAGAGTATATAGTTTCACAAATTTGGGTTACCATATAAGAAACTATTCACGAAAGTAATTTTTTCATATAAAAATCAAATGATCGACATCAAATTTATCATATGAACTGCATTCCGAACCCCTGCATAAGGACATATCCCATGACTGATATAATCCCCTAGATAGCTAATTTAGATATTAAAATAAATAAATGACTCTACGGGTATTAATAGTATCAAGACTAACTATTTATTATACCAAGCTTACATTAAATAGCAATGATCATGAGATAGAATAGCTTATTTTCTAAAATTTAGATTAGTGAATTTTCTTTTATAACATGCAATAGAATT